CTACCAGATCCAGACAAGGACTACGTGGTGGAAGCAGACGCTAGTGACCAAGCAGTCGGAGCAGTACTGATGCCGTATCACGGACGCGGTTTGCAGCCCATCGCCTACCTCAGTAAGAAGCTACACAAAGCAGAACTGAACTACCCCATCCATGACAAGGAAGCCTTAGCGATAGTCATAGCCTTCAAGGCATGGAGGTGTTACCTAGAGGGAGCCAAGACTACAGTCTATACTGACCACTGCAGTCTCAAATACCTAAAGTCGCAGCCGACGCTCTCACGACGACAAGTGCGGTGGGTGGACTTCCTGGAAACTCACTTCCACTACGACATCGTCTACAAGCCCGGGCCACACAACAAGGCAGATGCGTTGAGCCGCCGAGGACGTGTAGCAGGCATCCAACTCGACGGGATGAACCCTCTGCTCAAGGGTCTATTCCAACATGGGTACTCCGTGGACGGCGAGATAGCAACGGCAGAGAAACAGAAGCTGTTATAGTGGGAGAAAGACTTAGCTCTAAGGAAGGGTTCAGGAAAGATTTGGGTACCGAATTACACCCCGCTACGGCAGATCCTATTGGAGGAGTTTCACGACGTACCTTACGCGGGACATTTCGAGAGCAACAAGACGTTAGCAGGGATAGCGAAGTATTACTACTGGCCCGGGATGGCAGCAGACGTGCAGCAGTTCGTCACCTCTTGCGACACGTGCCAGCGGATGAAGAGTAGCAAGCAGAAAAAAGCAGGGTTACTTCAGCCTCTACCCGTACCGGAGCAGCCATGGCAAGTCGTTAGCCTCGACTTCATCACGGGACTTCCTTCGACCTCACGAGGGCATGATGCTATACTCGTGGTGATCGACAAGTTCTCTAAAATGGGTCACTTCATTCCGACCAACGCCACCGCTACTGCTGAAGCAACTGCTCGCCTCTTCTTCGACCGCATCATCACCATCCACGGCATCCCCGCTACACTCATCTCAGACAGAGACCCCAAATTCACGAGTAAGTTCTGGAAGGAGCTCATGGGATTATTGGGGACTAAACTTGCGATGTCCTCAGCATACCACCCACAGACTGACGGACAGACAGAGCGACTCAATCAAGTGGTTGAACAGTTACTGCGCACAGCTTGCAAGGACGACGTCAGCCACTGGGACACACAGTTACCGACCCTAGAGTTCGCTTACAACAACGAGTCTCATGCGGCCACAGGGAAAACTCCTTTTTTCCTGTGTTACGGACGGGAACCACTTACACCACAGCAGCCAACCACACCGGCACACGTCCAAGCCGCACATGACTTCGTCACCACCATGCAGCAGCTATGGGAGAAGACTCAGCGACGTCTCACCACGATGCAAAACTCCCAGAATCAGTATGCCGATCGCCAGCGACGAGATCACTCAGTAGCAGTCGGAGATCAGGTGCTTCTTGACACACGCAACTTGAACCTTTCTCACCTTCCATCCAAACTCCTGTCTCGCTTCTGTGGTCCTTTTCTCGTTGAGACACAGGTGACACCAGTTACATTCCGCTTGCGCTTACCAGATGCATGGAAGCTTCACAACGCTTTCCATGTCCAGCTACTGAAGCCCTACAAGGACCCCAACCAACAATTCCAGGGACGGCAGCTTCTGCCACCTCCTCCTGTTCTCATCCAGGATGAACCTGAATATGAAGTGGAGCGCGTTCTTTCTCATCGACGCCGCGGCGGCAAGACCCTCGAGTTCCTGATACGCTGGAAGGGTTATGACCCCACTGAGGACAGTTGGGTTGTAGAAGCTGATATGGGCAACGCACGCCGTGCTCTCAAGGATTATCTTGTCAAGCAGGGTGTATCTCACGCCACCCAGCTTTGAGGGGGGGACGTGTGAGAGTACGTCGGCTTATACTTGTTATTCATGCTTTCTATTATTTCCTTACGCTATTTCTAGCTTAGGATTATTTTCTGCATGCATGAATTGCTTGATTTCCTAGGTTCGTTGCTGTACTATAGTTATTATAGTTATAGGCACCGAACCAGGTTACGTGCACCGAACTCAAGCTATTCGGTCGCCACCGAATTGCTTTCTACCGAGTTCGGGAAGGTTCTGTTCGGGACGCTTCGCGACCCTCAGAACATTCGCGTAACACCTGGGTTACCTGCCTTGTGTCGAGCCTATATATAGCCTCATGTTGTACCCAGGTGATCATTCAATTACAACTCTCTTTTCTGAGCTCGATCCTAGATCCTTACAGTCGTAGTACATCCAGATCTGTGCGCCTTGGGCCAGGAGTTCAAATTCGAAACTCCAGGTGTAGAAGTTCTTGCCGTCGAAGGGTTTGGTAGTCTTGAGCTTTGATGTTGAGATGAATTTGCTCTGCATTGACGTCGTTGCCTCGTAATGCATCTATTGTGCTTGTGCAGATCCTTGAGCTCGGATCCGACTCCTTGGCTTTGGGCGAGGTCTTCAGGCGTAGCTCGAGCCGTCGATGCTCATTGGCTGATGGCTCTCTAGAGCGCTGATATGGGAAATGAGCTGCTCAAGGAGTGCTGACTCCACAATTTTCGTTCCGGAAGGAAGTACTGCATTTTCTCCAGCCTCACCACAATCTGCACCTGGCATGATGCATGCTCGTGATGTAAGGATAAGTTATAATAAAGCTTGACTTGGTTGAAGACTTAGCAGTTCCTATAATCCAAACCGGCTCTCATACCATGCTAGAGTAAGAATCTTGGATAGTATAGGATTGCTTTAGAGAGATTTGGTAGCGGAAGACTGTGGTAGGAACCTTGTGCATAATGAATGTAGATGACAAGATTGACTTATAGGGATCAAATGCACACAACAAATAGATCTACCTAGCCATGTATGCCGAGTAAATTCCCTTATTCTAACTGTTTTACAAGCAGTTTTACAGTGACTCTGACCATTGCTCTCCTTCTTATCGAGTCGCTGTGTGTAACTATATAGATAGTGACGCCTGTTGCCATTCTTCGCTTGTGAGTCGTCGGTCCAGATGTTCAACAGTCGCCACAGTTGACCTTTACAAATGTTGGCCTTCCTACGCTTGTACGGGCTGGTCCAATAATACTGCTAGTGCTGCTTCGATAGTGACAGGTGCAATACAGCTGCACCTACGAGAATGCTTAAGCCGATTCCCTCCTTACTTTAACACCACGTTGACATTCCGTAATGTATGGAGTCCTTGCTCCAGAATTGACAACCGTTGAAGAAGTTGCTCAAGTGTGACGGGGATGATCGTAGTTGTCGCCTCAGATGTTGCAGCCGGGTTGGGCTGGTCTTCAGCCGTCAGATTTATTTGGCCTCCAGATCCTCCAACCATTTTGACTTGGGAGCATGTGCCGCTCGCCAGCTTTGATTCGGCAAAATTTGCGGCAGTAGGAGTGCGAAGAATGCCCGAGCATCGCTAATACCATGTTACAATCCCAAAAAGGACTTAGCTAGGGATCGGCTAAAGTTTGATTGCAAGTAGTGTTGCAGAGGAAGTGATGAAATGTAAATGGCTGAGATGATTATAGCATATGCATACATTGATTCTTATAGGAATATAAAGGAAAACCAAACGTCATAGCCATATATAAGGGCTACATTACCTTATTACAACAAATTCAAGCCGCGCGGCACGGGAATACGCATTAAACCCGTTCCCACCATTTTCACTTCGAATGATTCTGCATGCATCAGTCTTGATCTGACGTTTGTGGTGTCGCTTTGACCATGACTCTGGTTATCGGACAGAATCCGTCTGATTGTCTGAAAATCACACATATTTTTTTTGTATTCGTATGCTTTCTCAGACATCTGGGAAAGGGTCGTATGAATGTTCAAACAGGCCTATGTTGTTCATCTACATAATCAGACTTGGGGCTTATACTTAGCCAGAGATTTAAGACAACGATTTTGTTTTCGTCTAAAACAGACAAGTTTTCCCACACGCCAACAGAGCCTCTTGTTTCCCTGTCTATACCGCCCACACGCAAGACCTCTCAAACAATTGCCACACCCGTCATCAACTTTAGCTCCACCGCACATCGGCAGCCGACTCAGAAGCTGCCACACCTCTACCGGAGGAGGACCTGGTGTGAGGAAGAGCGGCGGGGGAGGAAGAGGGGCAGTGCGGTAGGAGAAGAGACGGTAAAAGGGAACCGACTCGTCAAACGTGACGTCCTGAGAGGGCAGGACATGGCGCGAGGTGGGGTGGTAAAACTGCCGGCCAAGCGCGTCAGGGGGAAAGCCAAGGAAGATGCAGGGAACGGCACGGGAGGAGAGCTTGTCCGCAGAAGTATCGTGGACAAAAGCACGACATCCCCGGACTCGGAACACCTACGCATCGCAAGAGACGTGGGAAGACCAAAGACAAGGAGACGGGAGTGCATGCCACGGAGGCGTGCTACAGAGGGGCGACACGAGCAGGGGGCCACTAGCTGACCTGACGCACACGCAGACGCAGCTACGTAAGGAGGCACAGTAGTCAGTGTGTACAGACTCGACCCAGGCCGACGGTTGAACGTGACCAGGTGCCTGCCAGTCCGGGAGCATGTACAGATCGCCACACGCTGTCCTCTAGGGGTGAAGGTATCAACCCAGTGATCCTGAAGGACTGCGTTGCTCACCAAGTTCGTAGAGAACGAGGGAAGGTGGAGATCTGACATTGAGCAGGACGGAACCGCCGGACAAGGCAGAACAGTGGAGGAACATGCAAGGACGAGCAACCTTCCTGACTAACCCAATGCGGCACTCAGCAACCCCATTCTGTTGCGGAGAGGCCGGAAGCGTGAACGAGGCCCTCCCCAAAAGTCCCGCAAGAGGTCGAAGGCAAACTCACCACCTCTGTCAGAGTGCAGACGCAGGACCGGAAGGTCCATATTGAACCACTCGCGGAGCTGGAGACGGACAGCGCGGATCCAAGGGATCAGAACATCAGGGACCTCCTCCTTGCTGCGCAAGGAGACGACCTTGGTGTAACGCGAGTAGTCGTCAACAACCAGCAGAAATTATTGCTCGCGGCCCTGTCCACTGACGCGGGCTAGGCCCCACACGTCCATATGGAGAGTCTGCAGGGGAGCAGTCATCGGGGGAAACGAGGAGGAGTGAGGAGCGACGCGCTGCCGCCCCTCGACACAGGGAAGGCAGGGAGGGGCAGGCGAGGGTGGGAGGGGAGGCAGAGACATGGGAAGTCCAGAGCCAAAGAGACGGGAGTGCATGCCACGAAGGCGTGCCACAGAGGGGTCACCAAGGCGGTGGTGCCAAAGGAGAGTCTGGTGCAATAGGTCCCGACACAAGCAAAGGGCTGCAAGCTGGCCTGACGCGGACGCTGACGCAGCTACCTAAGGAGGCTCAGTAGTCTGTGTGTACAGACTTGACCCAGGCCGACGGGTGAACGTGGCCAGATGACGGCCCATCTGAGAGCACATGCAGATCAACACACGCTGTTCTCCAAGGGTAAAGGATGGAGTTGCTCACCAAATTCGTAGAGAACGAGGGGAGGTGAAGACGTGACAGTGAGCCAGAGAGAACCGCCGGACATGGGAGAAGAGTGGAGGAACGTGCAAGAACCGGGCCCCCAGAGGGGTCAGCCAGAGAGGCAGCAACAGGTGCAGAGAGCGGTGTGACTGTGGTACTGTCGCGAAAGAAACAGCGGGAAGCACCTGAATCAAGCGTGAAGGTGTGCAAGGCCTCAGCAGATGCAGTACCAGAGAAAGCAGACTCACCAGCACCTAGAGCAGTAGACTCACTAGCACCTAGAGCAGCAGCCTCTCTACCTGGGTCTGGCGGCATACACAGGTAACAGTCACCCTCAGCACTAACAGTCAATGCATACATGGTAGAAAGGATAGCTTCATAATCAAGAGCAATGATGTCTACACCCTGCCTAAGTAGCTCTGCCCAGCGGGGGAGCTCAGCCGCGTCGGGAAACTCCGTGCGGAAGGCGCTGGTAAGACGAGAGAAGCAGCGGTATTGGGTGTGGAGCCTCCCGCATGTCTGACCAGTGCGGTCACCTGTGCGAATGACATACGGGCAGGGACCACTACCCCCAGCCGCCCCCACGCTGAGCAAGCCACCCATGTAGCTCCTGGGGCGGAAACTGATGCTACTGCTGCTGCCTCTGACCACCGCCAAGGCCTCCTCTCTGACTGGTACCACCCCGGCCGCCACCACTGCCACCGCCTCCACTCCCACTGCCGCCGCCACTACCGCCACAGCCGCCACCACCGCCGCCACCTACACCTCCACCCCCACCACCACTCCCTCCGCCACCGCCGCCCCCTCCACCGCCTCCACCGCTCCCACCACCGCCTCCACCTCTGACACCCCCACTGCCCCTGCCTCCCCTGCCCCTACCGTTGCGGTGCCTCCCACTAGGGGCAGATGCAGCTCCTACCTCCTCAGCACGAAGGTAGTGAGCAGCAGCAGCAGAGGCGACTGAGGGGAGAAGGGAGGAGGGTGAACACCCCTCAAAGAAGGGAGTGCGAGGAGTGCCACAAGAAGCGCCTACAGCGACTATGATAGTCTCAGCTGCAAGGAGGTGCTTCTCGAGAAGGTCGACATTGAGGGTGGTGGGGTCAAGGGCGAGAAGGAGGTCCCTGACAGCGCTAAGAGAGTCGGGGAGGCGTGTGACTATGAAGTAGAGAGTGATGTACATGGGAGGAGGGTTCTTGGCGAGAAACTCGGCTGGAATCGCAGCGCTGTAGCGAATGTCACTAGTGCGAAGGTGAGTGACGAGGTTGGCTACTGTGGCAAAGGCGGACAGCTCTGGGAACAGGTAGGGAAGAAGAAGGCGGCATAGATTAGCAATGGCCGGGGAGGAGTAACGAGCGACTACAGCGTCGTACAGTGCTTTCGCAGTCTTGTGCTATCCGAAGTGAGCGCGTTCGGCTAACGGCAGGTGGGTGCGAATGGCTAGGCGAGCAGCAGCGTCACGAGTAAGCCACTGTGAGCGAGTCCCACTGTCTGCTCTGTCAGCAGGGGCGACAGAGGCGCCAGAAGTGAGGTCAAACAGCGAAATACCGTCCTTAGAGTCGCTCAGTAAGAATAGTTGTAAGTTATCGAGCCAAGAGTCGAACTCTATCGGGCGGCCCTCCGAATCAAAGGTGAGAACGCTTAGGGTCACCATAGCAGGCAGAGAAGGCGAGCGTGCTAGCAGCAGGGCATCGTGCAAAAAGGAGAGGGCAGGGCAACGGCCAGCAGGGCGGCGCACCGGAAGGGCAGCGGAGGTGCTAGCGGCGCAAGGGCAGGGCAAGGCGCGCGGCTACTGGCGGCGCAATGGCAGGGCAGGCCGCACAGCGGCGGGCAGCGCGCGGGCAGGGCAGAGCGCTCAGCAGCAGCGGCGCGCGGGCAGAGCAGGGTGCGCGGCGGTGGGCAGCGCGCAGGCAGGGCAGAGCCGGCGGCAGGCGGCGCGCGTGCAGGGCAGGGCGCACGGCGGCGGCGTGCGGGCAGGGCAGGGCGTATGGCAGCGGCGTGGCGCGGCGGCTGCAGCGAGCGGCGCGCAAGCAGGGCGCGCGGCGCGGCAACGCGCAGGCAGGGCGCGCGGCGCGGCAGCGAGCAGGGCATTGCACGCAACGGCGAGCTGCGCGCAGCAGCAAGTAGCGCGTGGGCAGGGCAGGGCAGGGCGTGCGCGGCAGTGCGACGCAGGGCAGGGCAGGGCGGCGTGACGCTAACCGGGCGGCGCGACTCGTGGGGTAGATCGGTTGGGTGGGCTCTAAAAAAAAAAACCGGTCCTAGGCTAGGACCTGCTCTGAAACCATGTCAAAAGTACAAACAGGAATGATGAAACTAGCATCATGCATAAGTACAAGTAGTAAATCCTAATTGGGTTGTTCCCCATATGGGCTACCCCGCTACAGCCTACACAACATGCAGCACATACAGTTTGACACACGTGTCCTTATGCCAGGTTGAAACACCTATGGACGTTGGCATTTTCGAGCCAGCGCACACATTCATGTTGCCATGCTGGTGTCTTGTAGCTAGTTGTCGGTGCCGCTCTTCAAGTTTCAAGAACGTTCTTGCATAACTCCCCCTCCCCCCAACCCCCCAAAGCCATCAGAGTTGGGCGACATGGGAGTTTGATGGATGGCGTCTTAGTGCACCCCCCACCCCACCCCACTCGCCTGGGCTCTCCTCGTGCTGCTCCATCTGCCTGTAGGATGCCCCTCTCTTACCCAGTCGTAGATCCGTGTCTGCAATTCCCTAGGCTCGTCTCCGCGGCTCTTCCAATTCCATAACTGCACCTCCTGAAACTTGATGGTCATGGCGCCAGACCCAGGCCCATCTGGCCATGCTCTTACCGCCGCTCCAGTGATGTCCCGCGTCTTACTGCTCTTGATTTCCTTACTCGAGGCGCTAGTAAACTGCCCCCCCCCCCCCCCCCCCCCCTCCCCGCCCCAGTTTCGTCAACAGTCATCCTAGAGCGAGATGAACCCGATACGTCAGCCGCCCTCCCACAAGAGTGGGACCACGACCGTGGCCGCCTCAACGCGAATTGCCACGCTCTCCCCCGCCATCAAGTTTTGGAACTCCGGGAGTAGAGACTAATGGACCCTTCTCCTCCAAAGGCACGAGCCACGCCAACCTTGTCCTGCCTGCTAGGAGGCGTGGCAAAGTGAAGTACTTGCAGTGCAAGATAATCTTCGCACGCCCTGCTGCTCAACAAGCAACGCCTACGACGGTGACCCCCGAGATACCTAACTCCACTCCAAAAAAGAGTGGGTTGGAGGCTCCTTGGGTGCCGACGGTAGAAGAGCTGCAGCTCAAATGCAAAGAGCAGTGGCAGCGGTACTTCCCATGGCTGATTATTGGCGAAGACGAGTACGGCCGGCCCGTGGTGAAGTGCACCACCTGCATGGCGTACGCGGAACCAAACTTCAAGTACGGCCGGGATGAGAGCGGCGGTTACGACATCCAGAAGCAGACGATGTGGAAGCATCAACACTCCATCAAGACCGGGGATGCACTCGGCTAGAAGGAGCGACGTGATGCAAAGCTAAAACACCCTGGAACAACACGATACGACTGACGAACCGGCGAGACGTTTGATTCGGATTCTAACTGTTGTGCATTACATATGCAAGTCTAACACTCCAATTGTCATGTTTGTGTCTCTTGTGCAATTCATGTCAGAGCAGGGCACACCAAACATGCCTTTATGGAAAAACAAAACGTACTACTCTGAGTAAGTGTTTCACTTTAACCCCGCTTGTGTCTGCCGGTACTCCTTTTTACCCAGACAGTTTTAATACAACATCCGTTTCCTATGTTTTATTGCGTAGGTACGGCTTTGCCTAGATGGTTGAGACTCTTGTCACATGTCTAAGGGCGAAGCAGATGGAACACATCCGCACTTCACCCTACCTCCGCATTCAGCTGGATGAAAGTAGTGATAGGGAACGGGGTAAGCACATGATCATTTGACGGTGGACAAAGGCGACGCCGGGTCGCTTATAGTGACTCTCCTCACCCACCAAGAATTTTCTGGGGTGAAACTGAATCGAATATCCAGCATCAGCACAGACGGTGCCAGCGTTATGACTGGCGGCAAGAATGGTTTAGTCGCACACCTGCGTACCAAGATTCCACACCTCACCCCATGCCATGCGAAGCATACTGGTAACTTGAGCTTTGGTGGCGGTACCTTTACATGCGAGAATGTCATCACTAAAAGGTGTTTTTATGTTATGTGCTAGGAAACCCTCGCTGCAAAGGATGCAGCCTTGGTAGTCCCCAACATGTAGGTCGTTGGCAAAGTCATCCGCTCGATTGCGAAAGACCTGGGCCATTCGAGCAACCAACACAGCCACTTCAAGGAGCTGCAGGAGGTTCTGTGCGAGACAAATCTCGAACTGCAAGGAATCCACAGCGTGCGCTGGCTATCGCGTGGTGCAGCGACACATCGGCTTGTACAGTCCTTGTCGTCCGCGATCATATTCTTGTTTCAGTATGATCACAAGGCGTACAACATTGTTTTACCTCCTTCAAGTTTCAGTTCCTGCTGTTTCTCTTGAATGATGTTCTGAAGGAGCTCGACATGCTCAACCTCAAATTTCAAAAGCGACCTGTATGTTTTGAGTTATGGTGATAGCATGTGTCTAATATCAGTCATATGTGCAAATGTTAACCTGCCTTCTCTGTTTCCTTGATAGGTCCATGTTACACACGTGCAGCAAGTGACCGACAACACGAAGATGACTCTGAGGAGTCGCTACCTGTGCGACGATGACAACTTCGGGCATGGCAGCGAGATACTTCACAAGTTTCTGAAGGCACGGGCGAGTGCGGAAAGCTGTGAGGTTTCGGTGGATAAAACTTATGACCCACAAGTACCTTCTACATGAAGACCATGCCGAAGGCCAAACCAGCGCCGGGGACCTAGCGGCGTGCCTCAAGCTTGCTCGTGCTTTTGTCTCCGCACTTTTCGGCAGAATGGACTGGCACTAAAAGGACCTCGCCAGTTTGAGCAGTATAGGAAGCTCTTCAAGTAGTTACGTTACCCACGGTCGGCCAACAAGCAGCATAGGAAGTGCCTTGCATGGCTCCAGTTGCTGCGGGACATGTTCAAACAGAAGCCATGCATGCCACACACTTTGCCAGGTGAGGCGAGTGTAAATGCTAGTGTTGCTTCGTTGACTGTTGTGTGTCATAACAAATTCTCCGTCGCGTGTATGTGCGATGCTTCCGTAAAATATTAGCCCTGCTATAACCCCTTCCCTTCCCACCTCAGGAGTCAACTGGGCGAAAGCGCCGCGTGAGTTGAAGAACTTCACCACCATCCTCTCCACTCACCACAACGACCTTGAGCTTCAAGAGGGACTGAAGCAAATGCTATCTACACCCGACTGGACGCACGCATATCCTAACATGGTGAACCTCTAGATCGATGTAGCCGTTCTTCTTGTGTCGACGGTTGAGTGCGAGCGCGGATTCTCGAGGCAGAATATCATAAAGAGCTGGCTTCGTGGCAACCTCTGCGACACGAAGCTGTGAGGGCTGATGATGGTGTCCCTGATGGAGCTATGGCGCTGCACCAAGAAACGCAGACCCTCTAAGGAGGTGGTGATGGTTGCGGGCTCAAGGCCGGTGAAGCACTCCAAGAAGACAAAGAACGACTTGGCGAAAGCGGTAGCAGCTGCGGCAACAGCAGCAGAGGAGAGCGCCAGTGTGGAAGCTGAGGAACGTGGATGGCAGAGCAGGGGGAAGACCATGGCCAAAGCTCCCTTGGACAGCCCTGCCGATGAAGAGGACAGTGTAGACAGCAGCAGCAGCAGCAGCAGCAACAGTATTAGTGGTAGTGATTCTAGTGATTCAGAGTAGACTTCCTTCCTCTCTCAGTAGTAGTTGTAGTATTTCTGCTGTGTGTCACAAGTGGTATTTTATTTTTAGAACGCAATGAAAGTGGGCTGACATCATCATGGCTCAAAATTCTAAACCCAAACAGTGCTCTGGTCTGTTGTTTCTCTGAATTCCCACACCGGGACTTCTGGTTTGTCTGGAAACCCAGACCCTTTGTCGGAAATTCCCTTACCCTCTTTAGTTACCGCCCTCCCCTCCCCCTTGCTCTGACCTTGCCCTTTTTCCTTCTTCCAATTATTTCCCTTTCTCCTCCCCTGCTCCTCCTTTCTCTGGTCTGTGCCGTTACTCCCAACCCTTATTATCCACACCCTTCTCACTATCTCTTGCCAGGGATGACTCCTCCCTTATGCTCTCGGCTTCTCCTTCACTGTTCCTGTTTCTGGCCTCTCCCTGATAAGCTCTCTCAGCTTACTCACATATCTACGCGATGTTACTCCTAGCCTGTTGCTTGTACTGGCCTGAGATCTTCCATACACACAGGTTGCTGCGATTCTTGAAGTTCGCATAGAACATACAACCAATGCAGAGTCAAATGCCGGTACCCCCTATATCCTGCCTACTCTCTTCTCCCTATTGCTACTCCTTGACGCTCCCTTGGAGGTGACTGCCTCCTCGCCAATACGAAGAGCCATCCTCCCATGCCGCTAGCCTCCAACACTTAGCCCTCCACCTGCCAACCCTCCAGCTTGTGGCTTTAACCCCAGCTGGCTCAGGCATCCAACCTGCAAGGAAACGAAACATGCACACGAACACGAAACAAATAGCTCC